GCTGGAGGCGAGCAGCTGGAGCTGCTGGAGCTGGAGGTGCTGCGGGTACTGGAGGTTCTGTTGCTTCTGAGGGAGCTGGTGCCACGGGTCCCGGAGGTGCTCGTACTGGGAGTTCTGGAGCTGCTGGACCTGCGGGTACTTCTGGAGCTGGAGTTGCTGCGGGTGTTGGCGCGGAGGCTACTGCTGTCGGTCCTGGAGGCAGTCCTGCTGGGGGTACTACTGGTGCTGCTGGGGGTTCTGGAGCTGGAGCTGCTACTGGTGCTGGTGCTGCCCCTGCGGGTGCTGGTGCTGTCCCTCCTGTGTCTGGAGTCGCCGCGCGGCCTCGGCCGTACTTCGTTCCGCTCCTTCAGCAGGTTCTTGGTCTCCCGCCTTCTACTGGTCCTCCTCCTCCCTTAGAGTGTCCACAGCCTGTCCCGTCGCAGTTACAGTTACAGCCGGCCTCCCCACTGCCTGCTCCGTCTCCCTACACTGGTCCTACTGGAGGTCTTGCTGAGCGTCGTGAGCCTGCGTCTCGCCCTGCGTCGCCTGTCCGTGCTGCTCGCACTAGTGGTCGCGGTTCGCGTCAGCGTCCTCCTCCTGTCCCTGGCACGCACCGGATGTCTCTGCGTCCGTCCACTGCTCCTCTGCGTGCCCCTTTGCCTTCTCCTCCTGAGTCTTCTCTTCCTACTCTTGCCGACCCGGAGTCGGACTCTCTTCGCGCTGCCAGTCCTACTGTCACGCGTCTCCTTGCTACGGTTGTCACTGACCCTTCCTTTGAGTCCACTGCTGCGTCTGCTCTAGTTGCTGAGCTCGTCGACTTTGCTGCTCGCTGTCGCCTAGACTACGTCGCCAGTCTTGTTGCTGAGTCTGAGTCTGTCTGTCCTCCGTCCGTCGGGGGTGAGTGTGCCCTTGGCACGGACGTCCTTGAGGACAGGCAGGAGGAGTTCCAGTGCTTGGCCGCTGCTTCACCTCATCTCGTGTCCGTACTGCTTACCCCTGAGGGAGACCCGGATGCACTTGACATCCCGACTCCGCGCTCTTACGCGGAGGCGATAGAGGGTCCGTACTCCTCTCAGTGGCAGGCAGCTATGGACGCAGAGATGGCTTCCTGGAAGTCCACAGGCACCTACGTTGACGCTGTTCCCCCTCCTGGGGCGAACATCGTCAGTGGCATGTGGATTTTCAGGGTGAAGCGACCGCCGGGTTCTCCGCCTGTCTTCAAGGCGCGTTACGTGGCTCGTGGCTTCAGTCAGCGGCAGGGAGTTGACTACTTTCAGACCTTCTCTCCCACCCCGAAGATGACCACTCTTCGGGTACTGCTGCACGTAGCTGCTCACCGTGACTACGAGCTACACTCTCTTGACTTCAGCACTGCTTTCTTGCAGGGCAGCCTGCACGAGGAGATCTGGCTGCGTCGCCCACCTGGCTTCACTGGGTCTTTTCCTCCTGGCACCCAGTGGAGCCTACGGCGGCCAGTCTACGGTCTCCGCCAGGCACCGCGTGAGTGGCACGACACACTGAGGACTACACTTGCGGCTCTTGGGTTTGCTCCCTCTACTGCCGACCCGTCGCTGTTTCTGCGCACCGACACTTCTTTGCCGCCGTTCTACATCCTCGTGTACGTCGACGACTTGGTCTTTGCCACAGCTGACACTGCTGGACTAGCCCACGTGAAGTTCGAGCTGCAGAAGAGACACACGTGCACTGACCTGGGTGAACTGCGCAGCTACCTTGGCTTGCAGATCACTCGGGACAGAGCACGCCGCACCATTACCCTGACTCAGTCACACATGGTGCAGCAGGTCCTTCAGCGCTTCGGCTTCACGTACTCCTCGCCTCAGGCCACTCCTCTGCCTTCTCGCCACTCGCTCTCAGCTCTGCCTTCGGATGAGTCCATAGAGTCGAGTGGCCCGTACCCAGAGCTTGTTGGCTGCCTCATGTACCTGATGACCTGCACACGACCTGACCTTGCATACCCTCTTAGCATTCTTGCACGCTATGTTGCTCCTGGGAGACACAGACCGGAGCACATGGCTGCAGCGAAGAGGGTGTTGCGCTACTTGTGCAGTACGTCGGGCATGGGGCTTGTGCTTGGAGGGCAGAGTCCAGTGGTCCTTACTGGGCACGCAGACGCTTCTTGGGCTGACGACCAGGCTACGCAGCGGTCGTCGCAGGGTTACACCTTCAGCCTTGGTTCCGGCTCTGTTTCGTGGCGGGCTACTCGCTCGTCTTCTGTTCTCGGCTCCAGTTGTGAGGCTGAGATCTACGCAGGAGCCATGGCTGCACAGGAGCTTCGCTGGCTCACCTACCTGCTGACTGACCTCGGAGAGTTGCCTCGTTCTCCTCCAGTGCTGTACGTAGACAACAAGGCCATGCTGGCCTTGTGTCGGGAGCAGCGACTGGAGCACAGAACGAAGCACATTGCTCTCCGCTACTTTCTTGCTCGTGAGCTGCAGCAGCGTGGTCAGCTGCGTCTTGCGTACGTGGCCTCTGAGGCCAACACTGCTGATATCTTCACCAAGGCACTTGCGCCTTGTGACCATCAGCGCTTCTGTACTCAGCTGGGCCTTGTGCCTACCTTGCCTCACTTGCTCACCTCTTGATCTTGCTTGTACTGTTACATATATATATACCTGCTCTTGTTTGTCTAACCTTTTTTATATATATGTGTACTCCTGCTTGTGAACTGGCCTTGTGGCCTTGAACTTGTGCTCGGAATGTGTGGTGACTTTGTGATCCACCCTGAGCTTGTTTTTTGCTTTGCTTTGCTTGACTGGTCTTGTGACCCCTTGTTCTCCCCCACTTTGCCTATGGGGGTGTGTCAAATTTATATGACATAGCTACTGTAGGCTAGAGTGGGGTAGCACATATGGGGTACAGTTTTCTAGGGTTTGCTTCTTGTACCCAACTTTCACTTAGTCATTCTCATTCCTGTTTTTCTTGATTCACAGAACTTTTCCCGTACTGAGCCGAATCTCTAAAACCCTGATTCATCTGTCTTTTCACATAAAGCACAGAAGAGTTCAACGTGAGCTGTTTAACGGAGGATTTCTAATGGCACAATCGATCCACCCATACATGTGTACCATTTAAGGATGACTACCCATGTGAGCACCTGGAAGTTCCTCGTCAGCAGACATCGAGGGTTAGGACCAACTAAGTCGTGATTCATGAATTGTGCCACAGAGTTTCAGCAAATCATGATGCGAGACGCCGCAACACCAACACCTGAAAAATCTGGATTGCATTGCTCAAACGCGCATCGCAGAGTCAGCCCTTCCCCTTCCAACTTCCCAAAATAAACCTGGCTCGAATCTCTAGGCTGCCACAGATCTGTACACATACACACCACAGCGCCCACTTGTTATCAGAAACACACCTCAGCTGAGTCCCACCTGTCGAGGGAACTTGTAGGCACAACGGAGGAGATACTTTTTGGCAGCGGTCACTATGCAGGGCAATGGCGCCGCCTAAACGGGTGTACTGCCATAGTATCTTATCGCGGGTGGTGAGATCCAGAAGCATTTGGTAAACAGGTATGATGCGGCGGTGTAACCATCGTCAGCAATAGAAACAGCAGTAACCCAGCACTTTCAGAAGGTCCGGTTGGCGGGAATGGGAGCGAGCTCTGGAAGCTGAGCCTGCAAAAGCGAATACCATTACCATCGGAGCCGCAAGCTCTAGCTCTTCCAGGGGTGACGAAAATCTCGGCGGCGGGCCGTTGAGAGCAGAAGATAACGTTGTCATTGCAGCTGCCCGTGGTCCGCGTCAAGTTGCTGCGGCGAGGCAACGAGCGACAGCCTCCGCGCGACACGCGCCTGTGGCTCGAAGCCTCGAAGCTTCATGTGGAAGGACCACGCCCACCGCGGACTGTCGTAACGCGATGCCGACGATGGTGGCGATGGCGATGGCGACACTTGAGTAGGGGCCTTTCAATCTCCGCTAGAATTATCTGCAATAAAACGCATGCTCTAATTGCTATTAAAATCATAGTCGCCCGTGTAACGTATTACCCTAACTACCGAGCTAACAACCATCGATCTCTCTCTAAGTCAATTGTTGAGAACTTCTCTCGACAAAGGAAGAGTTGGAGAAGATGGTTGAGTTGGTTGGGATGAAACTTGGTTTGGGTTTGCCAAGCCTCAACTTTGGAGGTTTGGAACATTTCCAACTCAACCAAGAGAATGTTGAAGGTTGGAATTCCAACCAATCAGAAACTGCCAAACAAGTGTTACAATCTACTCTATCCTAACCACAACCATTGAATGGTTCTAAGTTGGGTTTTCCAACCCAACACAATTGCCACATAGGCTCCAAGCCTAGGAACCATCCCACCATGGAAACCATGGTTGGGATAGTTCCCCAAGGGGTGTATTGAGGGGGTCTGAGCTAAGCAAGCTCATTCTCAACCTCCCACTCCAACTAAACAATTGGAAATGGGATTGTTTTGCCTAAGTCATTGAGAGCTCTCTCACGAGCCTTCCTACACAATTCTCTCAAGCCTTTTCAACAACTCCTTCAAGAAGATTGACACCTCCAAGGCTATTGGGAGCTAGTTAGAGCTTCAACTTGTATTGAGATTTATTATAAAAGCATTGTAACTCCATTATAATAGCCTTGGGTGTTACAGCCCGCCAGTAACCACCCGCGCATCTCGCAGCGAGCCATGTCAGGTTCTCAAGCGCGTTTCCGTCGGCCGTAACGTTCTGTTGCCAGTATTTCCCGTCGCACGTAGCATTCTGTGCGCCGCGAATCAGGTGAAATCGTCTTGTTCCGATAAAGCCGAGCCATGGCGGTGCCAGCGCGAGAGCGCACTCCGATGGCGGCAGCAGGCGTACCGATCCCCGCACGTCCCGACTCAGCTGCCACCACCTTGCCGCAGTCTCCCGGCGCCGTCTTCTGGTCCGACGATCCCGAAGCGGCCGGGCTCAACGCCCTCCGCAATCATTAGCGCGGGCGTGAGCGGCAGCGGCGGCAACGGCGGCGCGGCGGTTGCGTACCCCGCGACGGACGGGGGGGGCATGGCGCAGGTCTTCTCGTCCCCCGCAGACGCCAGACCCGGGGGACCCCCGCCAGAACCCATTCATGCGCCGTCATCGTCGCTGCACGTCATTCCCGAGGTGTCTCTAGCCGTGGTGGTGCTGGTGCTCGTACTGCTCGTGTGCCTGCTTCTGCTGCACCGCTACCGCTACCGGCTGCGCATCTCCTGCTTGACGGTTTGGGAGGCGCAACTCGACGGCGAAGGGCGGAGTGCAGGCAACCAAGGGAGTGGCGGCGGAGCGTTCCTTGCTGGCAGCGCGCGCAGCGGCAGCAGCGCGACGGGCGGAGGCAGAGCAGGAGGAGGCACGAGCGCGGGTCGCGGGGCGAACTCGCGGCTCCGCGTGGGGGGCGGCGGCGGTGGTAGTGGAGGCAGGGCAGGGCGGAGGGACGAGAGCAGCGAGTGGGTGCACGTGCTGCTGGACATACACGGATTCAGGGACGCCCTGGGCGACGACCACTCGTACCGTGTGGGGGCCGCTGGGCTGGCCCGAGGGTATAGCCGCGGTGGCCGTGGGCACGGCGGCAGGCGGGCGCCGTCTGGGCTGGATGTGGCGACGATCAACTCGTTGGGGGCTCTCACGGTGTTCGAGCGCAGTAAGGTCAGCGTCAAGGGCAGCTTGCAGCATGCGGAGAGTGGGGCGGGGAAGACGGCGGAGGTGCAGGCGGAGAAAGGGTGCGCAAGGGAAGGGCGAGAGCGGACGAGGGAGGTGGGAGAGCAGGGAGAGGAGCACGAGGTGGTTGGTACTCCAAATTTGAACCCATCCGGGGGGAAAATCGCGACGGTCGAGCCAGCGATTGGCTTGCAGGTTTCGCGAGGAACGAGAGTTGAGGAGGTGGGAGCACAAGCGGTAGAGAGAGAGCCAGCAGGCTTGCATTCAGGGGCGGCAGATGGGCTGACAGGCGCGAAAGACGGCGTGCTGGGGAGTGGGTGGTCGTGTGTGGGTATTGATGTGCGGGTGCAGGAGGCAAGATGCAAGCGAGGCCGAGGCAGACACAGAGGGGAGCATGGCAGGTGTGGGTGCGACGGCACATGCAATGAGGGGCAAGGCCGGGCAGCAGATCAAGGGCCAGTCGAGGGCATCGGGCATGGAGGCGGAGGGGAAGACGGGTCGGGGCGCGAGAGTGAGGTTGTTGTGAGCTGTGAGGAGGGGGAGTGCGCTGTGTGCCTGAGTGAGTACGTGGAGGGGGACGTGCTGCGCACCCTGAACAAATGCCACCACCACTTCCACCAGGTCAGCTCCATACCACCTTATGCTAGCTGGTGTTGAATGGATTGTTGCTGTGGTGAGTAGTATTCTGCATCATGGTGTCCAGTTCAGGTGGGATGCGTCCTGTTGAGTCTGGGTAGCATCAATGCTGTGACGCTGAGGACAGCAGAAAATTCCAGTCGATTCTTTTCTCTTTAGCTTTGCCTGCTGTTGCTACCCCACCCACATGCTCCTTGTCACCTCGTCCCTTGTGTGCAGATTTGCATTGACGAGTGGCTTTCGGGCAGCACCTCCTGTCCTCTGTGCCGCACGGCCATGGTGCCTGACAGATCTCCCCACGCCCAGCAACAAGAGCAAACAGCGACATATGCAGCAGCAATGCCACCACGACCACTAGTGGTAGCAGGAACAGCTGCAGTTCAAGCAGCGGCAGCAGCAGCGGCAGGAGGAGGGGATGGAGGAGGAGGAGGAAATGCCGTGGTATCTGGCACATCAGCATCAGCTGCCCATGCGCATGACCCACAGCACAGGCTCCATTCTCTGCACCCCGCGTCGTCTGACCCCTCGATGCCTCCAGCAGGTGCTGAACCAACCGCTCTCCCCCACACCCTACAGCAGGAGCAGCGGAATGAACAGCGGGGCGAGGTGGCAGAGAGGGGAAGGGTGGCAGAGCAGGTGCAGCTAGTGGAGAGCTTGAGAGGGCAAGGTGGTGAGGAGGGGAGAAGGCAGATCCGGAGAGTTGAGCATGATGGAGCAGCAGCAAGAGGCCCGAGTGGACAAGAGCAACAAGCAGAACAGTCAGTGGCCGAGGCCAGGTTACAGCAGGCACGTGAGGAGGGGTTATCACCTGCTCTCAGCCTTCCTGCTGCTAGAGTACTCCATGTGGGGCCAAGGATGGAAGCTCAGCAAGCTCCTGCACGCTCACTTCTCAGCCGGCTCTGGCTCGCGGCGGCTCCAGCTACTGGTGCTCATGGGCTCAGTATACCATTAGGCAGAGGCAGATCACATCATGAGAGTGAGGCACACGTATCAATATAGGGAGCTTGGGCGAAGCGGTTGAAGGGAGGCGTTTGAGCTGCAAGTTCTTGCTGAACAGTGCATGCTACCCGCTCTGCCCTTTCTGCTGTGTTGTTGTGGGCGCGTGTTTTGTATTTGTAATGTTTCCATGTACTGTACTCTTTTATTGCATTCGGCTCACACGCTGTGTGTGTAGAGCTGGTCACACTGGTACTGATCAAATTGTATGTTAAGCCTGGTGTATTACAACCAACGCCCACTCCAGTCACCCAACTTGTTGGAGCGGCAATGGGCCAGAACTAGCACAGGTGTTTCCCTACCTTCGCAGAGTCCGCTAAGTACAATCATAGTAGAAGGTGGTATGGTATGGGATTTGGTGTGTGCCATTCCTGGTTGTGTCTGGGTAGCCACCCCCTCAACTGTAGATTTCTTATTTCCATGTTCTCTGCTCCAATGCAGATGGGATGGGGTTGCTAAAAGGGATAGGCAAATTTCAAGGATATGGTTGGGCATTTTGTGTAGTGTTGTGCAACTCAGTGTACTGCAAACTTATGAAAAAATTGCTAAACACCCTTACCTGCAAGTCCCACTGTAACTGGTTCCAGCCCTCACTTCGCTAGTAGCACACTATTCGCTTCGGGAGAAGAACAATCATCACCAGCCATCAGTTGCCGCGCATTATTTCCACGTCATGCCTACAACCTGACTTCCACTGAGCCAATTTTACTAGCGAAGCAGCCCCACCTCCGCTGGTGCACACCACACACTACTCATTTCAGTTGCCCAGAAACCAACACGCTAGCGAAGTTAGGCTTAGGGGACATAAACAAGTTGGCATTAGCACTCCTTATGATAATCTGCTCTCTCCATCACTCGTTCCGCTTTTCCTATCCGTTCTGTCTTGGCTCCTGCTTCCAATCTGACATGTATAGTTCTACCACGCATCCAGCGATCTGAGAGAACGTTTGCGTGGAGTCAGCCGGGCCTTTTCTGCGCGTGAGTTCGTCAACGTTGGATTGTTGCGGTTGAATTTCCCGATCCCCGTTCTCCCTGTAACCAAGAACCAGCAGTTTTCAGCGTGTGTTGCACGCGGTGCGCGTAGTCCTGATCCTGTGGGTACAGTTTATATTGGAACGCCCTAGTTTCGAAGGAACGATTTAAAGCAGTTCGCTGCCAGGCGTTTAGTGTGCACGATCTGGTTGGATCCACGTCGTCAGATCCTCTGTTTGAGGGAGGCAGTCGGTATCGACACACCTCTGTGCTGGCTACGCCGCGTGTGACCGTGACGGCGAGTGAGCTGTCCCCATGGTATGTGTGGGGGATTCTTGTGTTGATCAACGTACGCTTTTCAAGATGTGGGCTGTTGAAGTAAGCAGTAGTTGAACCATTGACTTGTGCGAATCAATTGAACCTGTGAGTCTCACATTCTCATTTACTTCCCCCGTTTCCGAACCACTCCTCACCCTCCTCTTTCCCTCTTTTCCCAGCAAGTAGTACGAACAAGAGCACAAGAGCGCGCAAGCAGCCAAAACACTTGAATTGAAGACAAGCATGGAACGGGGCAAGCCAGATCCATCACCTTACCTGGGCCATTCTCTTCCATACACTGCTTCCGTCCCATACCATTTCCCACAGCTTCCCTCATCCCTTGCTTTTGCTCTAAATGACGCCCCTTCTCCTCCCACAGGCGGCAAAGATAATAGCGAACCTCATAGTGCTGGGCTCAGGCATTGTCATCCGGGCCTTCACTCAGGCATACCAGCAAGCACTGACTAGTGAGTGAATGGACAAGCTCAGCACGTAGCTAACAAAGAGCTCACCAATTGATTAGTCTTACGAGCTGGCAAGGACAAAAGCTTTTGCACATGCTGCATGCACAACACTGTGCTGCCCTCAGCAGCAGGCTCTTTGCTGGTGTACTAGTAAAGTGCGCCCTCATTGTTTTCCAGTGTATGCTCGCGGCACCTTCCACCCGCCTTTCGTTAGTACTATTGGCAGGTGATAGCTGCTTCGAACAATTTATTTCTGAACGGCCCTCACGTCCCACCCTTCCCCTACCCCTTCCCTCCGTGCCCCCTGTGTTTCTGGCTGTTGGTCCCTGCTCGCCCCTCCAGATGCGTCTCGCAGTGGGGTGGCGCAAGAAGCAGCAGCAACGGCATCGCGGCGGCTATCAAAAGTGATGTCAATTCAGGAGGCACGGATGATTTTGGGGGTCACTGAGGAGACGCCCTGGGAGCAAGTGCTGGAGGTAGGTTAAGGGGAAGGGATCGAGAGACACAGGTGTGGTTGAGGTAGGGGGTGATTGGACGGATGCAGGCATTGGTAAGGAGACAGAAGTTTTTTTTTTTTTGCTTTTTTTTTCTTCTTTTGGGTGGGGTGTGGAAGGGGAGATGGAGAGGGAGGTGTGATTATGCGCAGGGCCTTCTCGTTCAACAGCCCTGTCTCCACCGTTGCCTCTCTAATGTTCTCTTGCAATGGCGTTGTTACTTGGCAGAAGTACCAGCGGTTATTTGAGCGCAATGAGAAGATGGGATCATTCTATGTTCAAAGCAAGGTGCAGAGGGCCAAAGAATGCTTAGAAGCAGCTAAACAACAAGGAGATCAACTCTCCTAGCACCTCATCTCTTCTCGCCAACCGTTGTCATCTCAGTGTGCTGCCTAGAAGCTTCTGACCTGGGCCATAATCTGTCATACGAGTGCTTCTGACTCTCGCTGCCGGGGTGGAGCTTTGAAGTAATTTCACCTGAATAACAGGAGCTGGCCAAGTGGGTAATGGTGGTAGTGGTAGTATGATTGTGATAACAGACAGCACATGTTCAGAAGGCATGTGTATGATGGAGGCATGCTTTTGTTAGTGGCATGGCATGGCATGGCATGTCATTGTTGGGATAGGGGGGTGATAGGTTTGTGCAGGCAATGTGTTGCTTCTGGTGGGACTGATATTGTATGTGGATGCATGACGTGACTCTGATTTTGGAATCTGGCCAAACGCAACTGGCATGGGGATTCATTTCGAGGGTAGCTGCCTGTTGCCTGCAGGTCATGTTTAATTCATTATTGGGGCTACGTTCTGCTGAGGGACTGCGGACAGGAATTTTTGGAATGAACGTAGTCAAGAGAACAAACGAAAGCCACTTTTCGAGCCAAATGTCGAGGTCAGCGACCTGCCCCGAAGTCTCCTGGCAACCGCTCTGCCCAAGCACCCTTGTCCCGCGCAAAGTCGCACCCTATCGCACAAGCCGCTTCCAAAACAGAACTGAAGCCAATCACGGTACGCCACTCGGTGAGCCATTTCGGCTCTGACCGTCGTTTGGCCGTCGCCCCACCCCAGCCAAGCACAGCTCAGAAAGACAGTGCCAAGCTACGGTTTCTGCGAGCTGTCGTCGACCTGTCAGAAGCGCGGGAGTATCACACGAACGTGCAAAATTTGTGCCCATCGCCTCAGAGACTGACGGGAGGCCTAAGGGAGTGACGGGAAATGAATGATGGGATGGAGAAAGCAGAAGCAGGGGATGCGGACGGGAGATCTACTGCTGCGGCGATTCCACTCCCTTGCTCCGTGAGCCTTCATCCCTTTCATTCTGGAGCAGATCTAGCATCCCACCCATGTTTCCACAAAGCTAATGTGAACGTAGACAAGTCCACAACGGCGATTAATCTGTTCATTTTCTTGACGAACGATATCTTGTCAGCTGTTTTCAGCAAGCCATTCAAGCTGGGTTTCAGAAAGTGATTTACCATGGTGAGATTGCCGAAACGTCCGTTATATTAGTGCAATAATTGGATTTGCCGTATCCTGAAAGGCGTTCCCTTCTTTCTAGGTTTTTTCACATCGGTGCTAAGTCATAGTATCGTGCCATTGTTGGTACATCGCTCTTTCCTGTGCGAACACGTTTCTACTTTACGTCACGTGTTTCTCCACTAGTTATGCTTCTGCATCGCCTACCTGAGCGAGCGAGTATGAGTTCGCATATTTCCCCTTTCCCTTCCAATCGCATTCTCCCTCGTCACGTTGACGGCAGGATGGGGGTGAAGGAGGAGTCTCCGAGCTTCTCGCTCGGTTTCGACAGGTAAGACAACGTCGCTGCTCCTCTATGCCTTTCGAGTCAACGAGTCAGGAACGTCATGTGAATTGGCGTTAGTGCTGCCACTTGCTTTTTCTTGTCGCAGCACAAACTGCGAATAGTGTCAGGTCGGTCTGGTTCCGGAAAATTTCAGGCCATTACCCGTTGCATCGTATTGCATCGATTATAGATAGTTGTGTCCGTCAGTTACCGCTCGTCCCCTTCTTCCGCCGGATATGTCTACAAATGACTCTCTCTCCCCGTGCTTCTCGTTGTGATAACCGCAATCTCATATGTAGTAACTGCTGATAGATTCATTCCTTCAGGGAGTTTTCGCTAGCCGCAATCAGTTAAGGGGCCGCGTATGTAGTAACTGCAGAAATTCATTCCGTAAGGTAATTCTCGCTAATCCAAGCCACCGTGCTCATTGCCCCCAAAACATCCCACCACTTTTCCCTTCAAGCAGAACAAAACGCGCGAGCCCGCCCCAGCCGATGCCTCGACGGCTGTAACTTCCAATCCCTTCAAAGTGCACCTGCGGGTATGAATCTGCCTCTATCCATCCTGCTGTAATGAGAAAAGGAGAACAATCATGATAAACCGCGTGCTGATGTACGTTCATTGGTAAAGGAAATGTGAATCCGTGTGTCGATAACAAGCATGCAAACGCGAATTCTGTTCGTGGCCGAGACGCGTGTTTTGGCTCCAGTGCGAAGCTTTTGTTTGGTTGCGTGCTGTTGGATTCTGCGCGCTCGTGTACGGATGACTGGGTGTCATCAGTGCTCTTTTGTATACCATGTCCCTTGCTCCTCATGTGGTGGCCGTGTGTGTGGATCTGCTTGCTGATGCCTTGCAGCACGCTGGCGAGCACCATGAAGCCCACCCGCCGGAGAAAGAAGAGGATGAGGAGGAGCGGAAGAAGGAGAAGAAGGAAAAGAAAGAGAAGAAAGAGAAGAAGGAGAAAAAGGAAAAGAAAGAGAAGAAAGACAAGGGGGGTGGAGAAGAGGAGGAGGATGAGAAGAAAAAGGAGAAGAAGGAGAAGAAGGAGAAGCACAAGGAGGAACTTCATGCTGCGCATGAGGAGACAGCGAAAGCAAAGGCAGAGCTGGAGGTGAGGCGTACTCTCATCCCTACGTGGCTATGTTTTGAACAGCAGGGATATCATACCCTGTTCTCCTCAATTTCCCGATACCCTTTTCGCCTCGTGCTGCCTCATCGTACTTGCCACTCTGTCCTTAAGGCGTTGGCGTTCCGTGCTTCCCACTTACGCTAACGTTACTGTTTCCTGATTGGGCCTTGATTTCGTTCCCCCTCTGCCGTCGGTATCAGGAGCTGCGAGGGCAGCACGAACGGCTCGAGGCGCAGCTGAAGGAGCTGACGCAGCAGCAGGAAGCCAAGGATGCGGCGGCGGTGAGTGCCTTGCAGTTGCTGATGGTTTTCGGTACACGCACAACCGCATTGTAGATCCTAGTATCTTGGATTTTCTCTGTGATGCTCGGCAGAAGCTTGCCCAGTGATGCGGGAAACAGCTCGTTCAGGTCTCTTGTAGTGAGCTTACATCTCGTTCACTGCCTTCCGAAATTTGTTATCTCTCCCCTCCTGTTACTCAGCGTTCAGGAGCGGAAGCAGAGGCGGAAGCTGCAGCGCTGCGGGGCCGACTGAGTGAGGCGCAGGCGGAGGTCAGTGCGGCGCAAGAGAAACTCAGTGCGCTGCAGGAAGAGCTTTCCGCCGTGCAGGGGGAGCTATCTGCGGCCAAGGAGGAGTTATCCACCGCGCAGGGGGAGTTGAATAGTGTGCGCGTGCAGCTGGAAGAGGCGCAGGCGGAAGGAGAGGCCCTGCGCAAGGCAGAGGGAGAGATGAAGGTGAGACTCAGGGTGAAGGGAAAATTACGAAGAACAGGGCAAGAGGGAGCGGGACGGGTGTTTTATGGCTGGAGGGACTCAGCGTTGGGTAGTTGAGCCTTGCTCTCTCTGGTGTGAAAGGACCTTGAGGTAGGCTGGGGAAGGGAGAACGCGTGGGCTCACGGGCAGAAGAGTATTCGATGCTCAGGGACGCCGTGGGGCATGGAACAGATTGGCCACAGTAAAGGATGGAGGCTTGACAAGAATGAAGGCTTGACATTGTCGGTGGTATGGTATGCATGGATCTGGCCTGCCTGCGTTGCCAACAGCATTAGTGGCTTATGTGGTGATGCTTGACATGCTGGTTGTGGCGGTGGAACGTGTAGGGTTGTAAGACTGTTCATGCTCCTCTCGTCACTGCCTAGGATGCTCTGCGTCTGTGCGCTGTCTGATTGTGTGTCCGTGGTACGTGACACAGGATGAGGTTGAGAGAGTGAAGGAGGCAGCGACAACAGCGCAGCAGCAGCTGGAGCAGCAGCTGGCAGTGAAAGATGCAGAGATGCAGCAGCTGCAGGCGGACGTCAAGGTACCGAGTTGCAGTGCGCTCTAGGCTTTTCTGTTAACAGAGCTCGTTCGTCGCTTGCACTAGGCTCCGTGCCTTGTATGTGTTCGCCAGAGCCTAACAGTAAACCTTCTCGTATCTCACACGTGTGTGATCGCTCACAGGATCTGCAGAAGAAGCTGGAGGAAAGCAGCAAGCAGGCCATTGACGGGGGAGGGCTGGCAGCGGCGCGTGTGGACGATGGAGCAGCAGGAGCTGATTCAGCAGCGGGGTTGAAGGCAGCTGAAGCAGTGAGTGCCCATGCCTGTGCCTGCACTCGTCTGCCCGTGCTTTTATCTTATCTCTGAATCGTTTCACCACAGAGCTCGCTAGTGGCGCAAATACATTGCCTTTCTGCTCAGCCACACTCGTGCTGCCCTGCACTCTCCTCCTGTTTCTGCTGTTCCTCTCGTCTTCTCGTATCTCCTTGCGGCGGTCTGTGCGTGTGCGAATGCGTGTGCTTGCGTTCGTGCTGCTTACCACCCATGTTCCCCCACGTGAACCAGGAGTTGGCGCGGCTGAGAGAGGAGGTGAGTGACTGGAAGGAGCATGCGGAGGAGATGGCTAGGGAGAAGCTGGAGAGGGAGAGCGCAGCAGAAGCTGAGCAAGAGCAGCGGCAGCTCCTGGTGAGTGTGCGTTCACCTTTTGCAACTAGAGTCCGTTGGGTGTCCCCTGCACCACTGCTCCCGCCCCTTCCCTCCAGCTGGAACTTGCTCCTCCATTCCCTCTCTCCCACCCTTCCTGTACTCCGCATTTTCTGTTGGCTGCTGGTGTGTTCCGTACGGTGCTCAATCCACCTCCCTTCCCATTTTCCGCCTGTCGCCTTCTGCCTTCGGTCTCGCCCCAACCTGTCGTCCTTCTTACAGGAGCAACAGCTGCAGGAGGCCAAGCGGGAGGTGGAGGAGCTGCGGCAGCGGAGCCAGCAGTGCGAAACTGATGCGGAGACAGCAGGTGTCCCGCTGCAGGTGGCAGGTTCAGCTGAAGGGTTGGATAGAGCAGGGGAGACAGAAGAAAGTTTAGGAGAAGGGGAAGTAAGAGAAGTTTCGATAGCAGGAGGGGTGAATGAGGCAGGAGGGCTCGGGGAGGGCGCGGAGGCGGAATGGAGGCGGCGCTTGGAGGAGCTGGAGGGGCAGCTGAGGGCAGCAGAGGCACGCGCGGCCTCTCTGGAAGCAGCTGTGGCGGCTGGCGGGGGAGAGGCGCAGGTCATTGCTGAGCGCACTGGTGACGATGGTGGGAAGAACGAAGAGGAGAGAGAGGGACGTGTTGAAGATGGTGAGAGTGCTGACCAGCCTGCGGGTGCAGAAGAAGGAGAGGATGTGGAGGTGGCAGACGGGGAGGGGGAAGAAGCAGTAGGTGCGGGAGGGTCCAAGGATGCTTTTGAGATGAAGCCACGTGCAATCCGTGCAAGTGCGTCTGCAGAAGGTAGGCAGGAGTTAGACCTGGCAGGCGCGATGGCCCTGGTGGAGGAACTGGAGATGGAGCTGGAGGCAGCGCGCGTGGAGGTGCAGCAGCTCAAGGACGCGGGCGACGAGCTGCAGGCCAAGGTGGAGGCGCTGGAGGAGGAGAAGGAGGAGGTGGCGCGCGAACTGGAAATCACCAGCGAGGACCTCAGGAAGGAGAGAGACCTGGCGGCGGAGGCAGGGCTGGTGGCCGAGGAGGAGTGGCGGAAGAGACAGGAGGCTGAGCGCGCTAAGAAGGAGCTTGAGAGAGAGCTGGCTAAGAAGGGAGGCAATGCTGGCACTGGTGGCGCCGGTGCTGGTGCCGGGTCTGCAGCACAGGGCGGGCACAAGGAAGGGGAGGACGGGGCGGGGAAGAAGGAAGGTGCGGAGCATGGCAAGCAGGGGGGTGGTGGGGTTGGAGATGGGGCAGCAGGCGGACAGGATGGGGACGATGGGATGCACGAGCCGTCAGCAGAGGTGTGTCAGGTGAATCTGAAGCTGGAGCTGTCAGAGATGCGTCGCGAGGCACAGGGCATGCGCCTCAACCTGCACAACTCCAAGCTCGCCCTCGCTGCTGCCGAGGCAGAGGTTGTTCGGCTGACGGTGCGCGTGGCGTTTGGGCGCGTGCTGCTGCAGCTGGTGTCACGGTCGCGAGAGATGCACGAGGATGAGCTGATCATGGCCACACGCATGGTGGAGGAGGCCAAGGTGAGGGAGAGCGCAGTGGAGCGCAACCTCTTCTCTCTGCTCAATGAGATTGCCCGCCTGATCAAGGAGCAGCAGATGCAGGCCAAGAACAACGGCGCCACGTACCTCAAGTATAAGATAGGCCCGGCGGAGATCGAGGTCGTGAAGGAGGACCTGAGGCAGCTGGTGCGGTGGGTGCAGACCAAGGCGACGCTGGCCGAGAAGGGGCGCCAGAAGAACAGGGCTGCACGCGTGGGTGCTGCAGGCGTCGCAGATGCAGCGGCAGCCACCGCAGCTGCGGCAGCTGCTGCCAATGCTGCAGCGACACGTGCGACTGTAGAGGCGGTGAAGCGGGGTGGGGTCGCAGGATTGGGCGGGGAGAGCGGGCGGGACTCGGTGGTGCATGGGGGTCCCGAGATGGTGGTGCAGCTGGAGAGGGAGCTGGAGGAGGCGAAGGCGCGGTCAGAGGAGGCGGAGAAGCTGCATGCCATGGTGGAGGGCGTGCGGGAGAAGGAGAGGCGCACGCGCGAGGAGGTGGAGAGGGAGCTGCGCGCGGCACAGGTTAAAGTGGCGGAGGCGGAGATGATGGTGCAGCAGGTGGACGCCCTGCGCAACACAGCGTCCGTGCTGGCTGCAGAGCTGACGGAAGAAGTGAAGGAGACCAAGGTGAAGATGCTGGAGGCGGAGGAGGTGGAGGGGCGCATCACTGCACTCGAGGCCACGGAGAATGTCATCAAAGCGGATCTTGAGGTGAAGAGCCTACGGCTGAGGGAGATTGACCGGGACTACCCGTACCTCATGGCGCAGGTGGCGGCAGACGGTGCGCCGGCCAAGCCACGTGGGTCGATCTTTTCCCTGGGGCGAAGCTCAGCAGAGGCTGCGGCAGTGGCAGCGGCGTCGGCAGCGGCCAAGGAGAGGAAGCGGCTGCTGGATGAGATCCGTGTGATGCGCGAGCAGCTCATCTGGACGCAGGGCTCGCTCACCAAGAGCCGCCAGCGCCTGCCTGAGCTCTACCAGGTGGGTCATGGGTTAGAGCAGTTGGTGAAGAAAGAGGAAGTGATGTCGGCAGTGGAGGGCGGTGTTGTGATTGTTGGTGGGTGGTCTTGTGGATGTTGAGACTCAAGAGTGTGGGGAGAAGGCTGCCACGGTTTGGAGCAGTTCTTTTTCGTTTTCTCTTGAGCACGAACTTTCATTCCTAAATTTTAAATTCCTCTTTGACCTTCACTCGTGTACATGTGCCATCGTTGGCCCCTATTGCAGGAGGCAAAGGAGTGTAGGCGCAAGGTAGAGGAGAAGGAGAAGGAACAGAAGCGTGTGCGGCAGTGGCTGGCAGAGCACGAGCCTATCATTGCAGCCAACCAGGCCAGGCAGGCTCAGACCGCTGCTGCTGCTGCTGCCCTTGCTGCCTCCGCTCCTCCTCGCACTGCTCCTGCTCGTGCTTCTGCCCCTGCCCCTACTCCTGCTCCTGCGCCTGCGCCTGTTCCTGCTGCTAGTTTGGGCGGGTGGGGTTTCTCTAGTGACTCCAGCCATAGTGCTGCCAGTGGTGGTGGTGGTGGTGGTAGTGGTGGTGTGCCTCTGCCTGCTCACTTGGCAAGTGCACGAGTGGTGGTGCCATCAGCCACGAGCTCTGTGGGCGCTGCTGTGGCCAATGCTGCTCACGTCGCAGCAGCCATGGCTGCCGCAGCAGCAGGAGCGGATGAGAGCCGTACAAGGAGCAGCAGCACGTGGAGCTGGTGGAAGAAGGTGGGGAGCGAAAGGAACTCTTCTCATCTCCTGTTGACTCTTTTGCATGACTCTCCCCCTCTTTCTGTACCCATATCTTGGTGCCTGATTAGTGCGTTTCCATTGCGTTTCCACTGCGTGTGCCTGGATTCTTCTTTCCGTAACTCTTCGCTGTGGTGTGTGCCACTCCGCATCATCTGTGCTTACTGCTGCGCCATCCCACTTCTTGCATTCCCTTGCTGCGCAGAAGGAGGAGCCAGAGCATGTGGAGGAGGAGTTTGAGGAGCCAGCACGTGAGCAGATCATCATGCTGCCACCGCTCACCAACGACAGTGTGCTCTCCAATGCCATTGCTGCCTTCGCCAAAGCCAACAGCACCACCAAGATTTCCCCTCTTCAAACACCCTCGCCTCCTCCCCCCACTCCGTCTGGTCCACCCCCCATGGCCCATGGTATGCCCCCGCCTGCCCTTCCCACTTCCCCTCCTCATGCTCCTGCTGTTCCGTCCTCCCCTCCCTCTGCATCGCCGGTTCCTGCTTCTGGTGCCGATGCTGGAGCCATTGACGATGCTCATGCGGATGATGCTGCTGCTGCTATTTCTTCAGTTGCGGCTCCTGCAGTTGCGGCTGTTGTTGAAGAGATGAACGAGGGAGAGAAGAAGTGCGAGGAGGAGCACGTGGAGGAAGAGGACAGTGAGAAGGAACAGGGAGAGGTTGATGAAGTGAAGGGAGCAAGTGAAGGAGAGGGACGCAATGTGGAGGAAGGAGAGGAAGAAAACTCGGACGCACATGGAAGCGAGGGTAACAAGGTGGAGGAGGCGAAGGAAGAGGATGACAAGTTGGAGGAAAACGTGGAGATTGGAAGCAAGGACGAGGATGCACCACTGCAAGCGGTAGCGGGTGATGATTTAGCTCCACAGCAGGCTCCTGATGTAGCTGACGCTGTAGGAGGAGCAGATGCAGAGGCAGAGGCAGGGGCAGAGGCGGAGGCAGGGGCAGAAGCGGAGGCAGGGGCAGAGGCGGAGGCAGGGGCCGAGGCAGGGGCCGAGGCAGAGGCAGGGGCAGAGGCGGAGGCAGGGGCCGAGGCAGGGGCAGAGGTGGAGGCAGGGGTAGGGGCAGAAGAAGAGGCAGGGGCAGGGACAGAGGCGGATGCAGGGGCAGGGGCAGAGGCAGAGGCAGGGGCAGAGGCGGAGACAGGTGCAGAGACGGAGGCACGTGCAGGGGCAGGGGCAGAGGCAGAGGCAGAGGCAGGGGCAAGGGCAGAGGCGGAGGCAGAAGCAGGGGCAGGGGCGGAGGCAGAGGCAGAGGCAGGGGCAGGAGCAGAGGCGGAGGCCGAGGCAGAGGCAAAGGCCGGTGCGGAGGCAACGGTAGAGGCTGGGGCAGAGGCAGGGGTAGGGTCTGGGGCAGGGGTAGGGTCTGGGGCAGAGGCAGAGCCAGAGGCCGAGGCAAGGGCAGAGGCGGAGGCAGAGGCAGGGACAGAGACGGAGGCGGAGGCGGAGGCTAGGGCAGATACTGAGGCAGGGGCAGGGGCGGAGGCAGAGGCAAAAGAAAATGCAGAAAGAGAGGTGGTTGCAGAGGCAGAAGGCGAGGCACAGGGAGAGGCAGGAGCAGAGGCAGCAACAGAAGGAGAAGCAGAGGCAGAGTATGTTGAATCAGTTGCTTCGATTCAAGCTGCGACTGAGGTTGGCACAGCAGAGGAGGCAAGCGTGTCAAGCAACTTGGAGCCAGTGGATATTGCCACACAACAGGCACAACCACCTCTTTCTGCTGATGAGGTCACTGTCGCCACGCACACTGCACCTGCTGTTGTCTCTGAGCCGACACGTTCAGAGCAGGAGGAGAGCCAGTGTGAGGAGGGCCCTTCTGCCTCCCTTGCATCTGTTGAGTCTCCTCCAGGTACTGATGCTGCTGTTGACAGTGCCGAAGCCAGTGATACGCCCACTGAACGGCAGGAGGACCCAACTCAAGAACGCGCGGAGGCAGAATGTCTCCCAACAGCAGAGCTTATTGATGCTGCGGCCATTGATGCCTCTGAGGCTGTAGCTGATGCGGCTGACGTGGCTGAGTCTGTTCCTACCTCTGCTGAACTGGCGGATGCTCCTGACGTTTCCGCTTATGTGGCTGATCCTGCTGGCATCTCTGCTGATGTAGTGGTTCCTGCTGATGTGGCTGCTGCTGATGTTTCTGCTGATGCGGCTGATGCTGCTGATGTTTTTGCTGATGTGGCTGATGCTGCTGATGTTTCTGTTGATATGGCTGATGCTGTTGGTATCTCTGCTGATGAGGCAGCTGCTGTTGGAGTCTCTGATGACGTGGATGCTGCTGATGTGGCTGAATCTGGTGGTATCTCTGCTGATGTTGTGGATGCAGCTGGTGTGACTGATTCTGTGGATGTTCCTGCCATAGTGGCTGCTGCTCATGTTGATGATGTGGTGGATGCTGCTGATGTGGCGGATGTTGCTGATGTGGCGGATGCTGCTGATGTGGCGGATGCTGCTGATGTGGTGGATGTTGCTGATGTGGCGGATGCTGCTGATGTGGTGGATGTTGCTGATGTGGCGGATGCTGCTGATGTGGTGGATGTTGCTGATGTGGCGGATGCTACTGATGCGGCGGATGTTGCTGATGTGGCGGATGCTGCTGATGTGGCGGATGTTGCTGATGCGGTGGCTGCTGCTGATGTCTCTGCGGAAGTGGCCGCTCCAATTGATGTTACTGCTGATGCGGCCGATTCTGCTGGTATCACTGCGGAGGAGGCGGCTGCTGCTGATGTTGATGAGTCTGCGGAAACCAATGTGGTGGCTGCTGCTGATGTCTCTGCTGATGTGGGGGCTGCTCCTACTGTCTCTGCTGATGTGGCTGATGCTGCTGCTGTCTCTGCTGATGTGGAGAATGCTGCCGCTATCTCTGCTGATGTGGCAACTGCTGCTGCTGTCTCTGCTGATGTGGCTGATGGTGCTGTTGTCTTTGCTGATGTGGCTGATTCCTCTGCTGATATGGCTGATGTCTCTGTTGATGTCTCTGATGTCGTGGCTGCTACTGAGGCTGATCCCATCACTATCTCTGCTGATGTGGTTGATTCTTCATTTGCCTCGGCCGCTGTGGCGGCTTCCGGTGATGCTTCTGCTGATGCAGCTGTTGCTGCCGATGTTTCTGCTGATGCGGCTGATGTCTGTGCTGATGTGGTGGCTGCTGTTGCTGATGTACCTCTGGATGCCTCTCCTGATGCGGCTGTATCTGGCAGTGAGGTTGCTGCCCCTAATGACATCGTATCTGCTGCTGATGCTTCCGCTGGTGTGGCTGCCATTGCCGATGTTGCTATGGCCACCATGGCAGTGGCATTCGATCAGGTAGAGCCGGATGTGGTGGAAGAGGAGCAAGCAGCAGGGCTATCAGATGCCTCTTCTGTTGCTCACACCCTTGATGGTCAGAATGTGCATGAGGCAGAGGCAGCTGCATCTCCAACTGTGTTCCTAGGAGGTGAGGAGGATGCGGAAAGAGATGCGCCCGATGATGCAGCTGCCCCGCCAGCACCTGCTGTGGCGGACTCCCTTCAGGCGCATGTTGCTGAAGGTGATGAGGCCGCAGTACGCGATGCCCCTGCATCCGGCACTGCTGATCGGGACACAGCCACAGCTGGAGAGAGCAAGGTTGTTGGTGACTCGGCGTTGGAAGGGGAAGAGGCGCAGCAGATGGCAATATCTGGAATGGAGGAGGGGCGTGCTGGTAGGAGTGCGCTTGTTGCCGCACTGGCTGAGGGGGGTGTAAGCCAAGATGGGGCAGAGGAGAAGTTTGAGAAGCTGGCGGGGAATGCAGGGGAGCAGAGCAGCGGAGCTGATGAGCGCCATGCTCAGTAGAACCTCAAGGGTGGATCTGGGTGGAATCTCTTAGGTAAGAGCTTCGATTATTTGCTACCCTGATGTCACAATTCTGCCTACTTCAATGCTGCATCCCCTCATTTCTTCCCTTACGAAACCCTGACCTTTCGTTTCCTTCAAGTTTTCCAGATCTTTATCGCCCCTCCTCTCTTCACTTCCCCTTTTTGGGAAGCCCCACCCTTTTCCCCTCATCTCCTCTTGCTTCCTCACTCCCTTCATTCCTCATTATGCTCTTGTTGTGCAGCCATGGTCCTGTACAAGTTTACTTGCGACAATGCTGGTCTGATGCTGTTCTTTGTCTTGTAAACACAGCCACTGTTTTGGCAGTGCACGCTTTGTTGTGTATGAGGTTGGTATTACATTCGTTATACTTTATCAAGTTGTTATCTGTCTAGCAACAGCTCTTAATATTTTTAGTCTCTAAATTGGAAAAAGTCTTATGTATTATCCAGTGATTGCATATACGGCAGGATTTCATAATAAGCATCTTGTAACGTCTTTGACATCACGGAACTCGTCATGCATAGGAAGGTGGATGGACCCTCCATGTCCATAAAAAAATCCCCATGCCCACAGCTAAACCCTAATCAGCCACCTCGGTCCAACCCTAATCCCGTAGTTCCCTGGAATCTTGTCAGATTGATAGGTTTGAATCGGTAAAAGTGCATGTGTATGGACGTGCGTATGCTTCCAAGCCGCAGCGCATTCACATTTTCCGTGACCATAGCTAGTTCCGAGTAACTGGCGAGCACTGCCCGTAGTATCGGCTCATTGCCTAGGTAGACGTTGCTGTAACCTCCAGGAACCTCTCCGTTTGCCGTCATCCTCTGGTCCCTGCCTCCCCTGCTTCTGTCCGTCGCACGTGCCTCGTACCGCCAACCCTGCATTGCATCCGTCATCTCCTCTGCCTGTCCTGCTGCCTATCCCCATTCCCCTCGAGAGTCCTCAGCTCCCCTCCTCCCGTTTAAGCCAAAGCCTTTGCTAAAGCACCCCTGCACCGCCACCGTGACCAGCATCACTGTCGTCTTTTCCATCACCTGTCGCAGCGTTCATTCGTGCGGAGCCTCGCTACCAGCAAAACCTTCCCCAGGATCCCCTCCTCGTCCTTCCCGCTCCCCGGTTACCGTCACCTCTCGCCGCAACTTACCCCATTGCGCGCGCTCGTTGCCGGCAGTGGCAGCGCGAAGCATGCATGGGTCGGCCGGGGTCAGCCCAGGAGGGTGTGAGGGGAGCAGGAGCAGGGTGGGAGCAGCAACAGGAGGAGGCGATGGGGGAGAGAGTGATGCGGCCGCTGCTGCCGCTGAGCTGGGGGAGCAAGCAGCGGTGGCCGTGGGGCTCAAGCCGCGGGGGCTGCTGCCTCTGGAGCGGTTAGAGTTCAGGGACCTGCTGCGGCGCAAGGGAGCCATGGCGGGGTACCTGCAGTGCCGGTGCGCGCTCACCTTGTTGTCTCTTCACCCGCCTCGTCCCTCCCTTGCACTCAAGTGCCGCCTCTCCGCGCCTGCAGCTCAGTCGTCGCTTCCTCACGCTTCCCACCCTCGCCGCCACTCACGAATGCCACAAGCGTCCTCGTTTCCTAGTCTCAGATCACGCTTCTGTTTTCTCCTCTCCCTTATCACCAGACCTTGCCTTTCTTCCCCCAACCCCCTCTCAAATCTCGTTCCCCTCGTCCCGTCCCCCCACCCCGGCCCCGCTTCCCCAATCCCTCCTCTGTGCATCGCAGCAACATGGTGCTGACGGCGTGGTACGCGGACGTGTCCCAGTCGCTGCCACTCGCGGCCTTTGGCGTGCCGTGCATGCCCCTGCCGGGCGAGCCCGCGTGGCATGGCGTCATGCGCCACGTGTACTCGTTCCTCAACGACAAGGTGCGTGCGCCACGGACCAGGCAGGAACAGCGAACGCATCATCGTGGGGGGTGGGGGTAGTGCTGACGTGCCCTGGCGTACCACCTTGCTGCCTGCTGTCGTGCTCCCATAGCGTTCTTGCGCCGTCGGCTCCCTTTGCTCCATGCAGGGCTGCATCATCTTTGCCTGTGGTTTTTGAGTCGACTCAAAAGTCACCTCGTTTTTTAGTCGACTCAAAAGTCACTTCGGCTCCCGTTGCTCCATGCAGGGCTGCATCATCTTTGCCTGTGGTGTGTGCGTGTGTGCTATCCTAGGTGCATAGCATGGCATGGCAGCGCCGCTGCCCCTGTGGCAGCGACTTACCCTCGTCCACCTGGTGGATCTCTGCTTGTGCGTGTGTATGCACCACCACCAGCACCACCACAAGCACACACATGCTTTCAACGCGCCTAATAAAATGTCTCGTGCTTGCACCTGTGTGGGTATGGAGACCCGATACTTGCAGAGCCACGCCGGTTGAACTAGGAAACAACGTCTTCTTCCCTCCGTCCCTCACCCACCCCTCCCTTGCGCACCAGGCCTTCATCAATCTCTGCAAGGCCGGAGACATCCCCGCCTCGCCCGCCCCCTGTTGCCTCTGTACCCCAGCTGCACCAGAGGCACCAGCAGCAGCATCAGCAGTCAAGCCTCCAACCACCCTCTCCCCAGCATCGCCAACCCCATCTCTGCACGGGCGGCGGGTGGTGGTGGTGGGCGCGGGGCCGGCAGGGCTGACAGCAGCGCGGCACCTGGTGCGTCTGGGGGCGCGCGTGGTGGTGCTGGAGGCGAGGGAGCGCGTGGGGGGGCGCGTGCACACGGACTGGACTTCCCTCTCCGTGCCCGTGGACCTGGGCGCCAGCATCATCACAGGCGCCGCCCCCGACGTGCACGACAACCTCCCCCCGGATCTCTCCGCGCTGCTGTGCCAGCAGGCGGGGTTGCCGTGTGTGGTGTTGAGAGAGGCGTGCCCGCTGTACGATGCGGTGAGTGGGGGCAGGGTGGCGGCGGATGTGGATGCGCGCGTGGAGCGCCAGTTCAACCGCCTGCTGGATGATCTTGCGGGGGTGGCGGCGCAGCAGGGGCAGGGCGCTGTGCACATGTCCATGGCTCAGGGCGTCATGCAGACGCTGGGGGAGGCGTTTGGGCGGGAGAATCTGGTGGGCGTGCATGGGTCGCTGGTGGAGGGGCAGGGGCTGGAGCGGGTGCGGGTGGAGGGGGAGGGTGGAGGGGACGGGGGGAAGGGTGGTAGTGGAAGGGAGGCGTGCGCAGAGGAGTTTGGCGGAAAGAGAGGGGTGGGAAACAAGGAGGGGGTGGGGAGGGGCGGAATGAAGGGGATGGCGGCTGAACGGGCGCGCAGGGATAGCTTGGGTAGCAGGCACAAGTACGATGGGGACAGTAATGGTGGCGGCGGTGGTGCGTTTGATGCTGCCGTGTGTGGGGGGGGAGCGACGGCACTGAGTATCATTACGGGTGGCAAGTGGAACGGCGCTGCTACACCTGCTGTGGTGGATGGCAGTGGTGCTGCAGAGGACGGAGGGGGCGGTTGTGAGGGCCTTGCGGCACAGGCCGTCGTGGGGATGAAGGAGAAAGGTGAGATGAAGGAGAAAGGTGGGATGAAGGAGAAAGGTGGGATGAAGGAGGAGCAGCAGGAGGTTGTTGATGGTGGCCTGGAGACAATGGGTGGGGTACATGAGAAGCAGGGGATGGGAGACGAAGTGGAAGTGAGAGAGGTTGGGAAGGAGAGTGGAGAAGGAAAGGAGGAGAAGGAGGAGGAGGAGGAGGAGGAGGAGGAGGAGGAGGAGGAGGAGGAGGAGGAGGAGGAGGAGGAGGAGGAGGAGGAGGAGGAGACGGTGGGCATGGTGGATGAGGAAGGCAAGGGCGAGTGGGGGGCGGAGTTGAAGAAGGAAAGTGCAGATGGGGAGGGAAGGGTACAAGTGGAGACGGATGGAGAGGAGGGTGGTCAGGAGAAAGCACAAGAGGGGCAGGAGAGAAAAAAAGAGGGGCAGGAGAAAACACAAGCGGAGCAGGTGATGAAACAAGAGGGGCAGGAGAAGGAAAGCCAAGAGGGGCAGGAGAAAACACGAGTGGGACAAGTAGAAACACAAGAAAGGCAGGAGAACTCACAGGAGGAGCAGCAGGCAGCAAAGGAGGGAGCGAGGGCAGTAGTCACGAGTGTAAGTGAAGCGACGGGTGTAATGAGCCATGCTGGTGAGGGTGGCACCGAGGAGCCGTGTGCATTCCCCTCCATGGGCCATGGCGGGGAGAGCGAGGGGCAGCAGGGGGCTGGAGAGGCGTCTGTAATGGGAGAGGAGAGGGAGGGTGGCATGTGTGACGGTGGTGGGGATGTGCGGGACAGCAGGGAGGGTGGTTGTGGAAGCACGGAGGGGTGTGGCGGAATGGTGCAAGCCAAGAGTGACTCTCCAGAAGGGCTTAGGTGGATGGGGAAGAGGAAGCGAGCAGGGCTGGAGCCAACGGAGTCAGGACACGTGGCAGCATTGGGTGGGCAAGGAGGGCAGGAGGCAGTGAGAGCACGAGGGGCGGTGGTACAGAATGAGCGGAGCAGCAAGAGGGCGCGGAGAGGCGAGGGGGAGGAGGGGAGGGCGGGCAGTGGAGATGCGGCGGAGGCAGCAGGAAGAGGAGCGGGTGTTGTGAAGGAGGGGGGTAAAGGGTCGAAGGTGCAAGCGAGTCGCGAAGGGGGGAAGGGCGAGGGTGGGGATGCAGACAAGAGTGGGGAGATTGGGAGGGGTGCAGGCGGCATGGAGGTGCGGACGAGGGCTCAAGTGAGGCGCGCAGAGAGGCTCAAGGCGGAGCAAGGGGCGCCGGGGGCAGCGAGGGTCCCTGGGGATTGGGAGGACGGATCAGCGTGGGTGAGTGGAAGCGACAAGCAGCGGGGCGCGGTGAAGGTAGATAGTGCGATGGGGCAGGACGTGCATGGGGTGGGGGAGTCTGGGAAGGGAGGAAGGGATGAGAATGGATGTGTGCAGGGTGGGGAGCAGGTGCAGGAGAGGGCGAGAGGGCCCGTGACTCGCCGGCAGAGCAGAGGCGCGGTGGAGAGAGAGCAGCGCAGCAGAGAGAGCAGCAGGGAGAGACATGGCCATGGGGAGCAGGGCAGGGAGGCAGTTAAGAGGGGCACGAGTGCGCAGGCAGGGGGGCCAGTGAGGGCTGGCAGGCTTCCTGGTGAACAATCGTCAGAGAGGGGTGTGAAACGGGAGGGAGGAGGGAAGGGCGCGGAGGCGAGGGGCAGCAGAAGCAAGGTGGTGAGGGACGTGCGGAGGCGGTCCATAGCTGACCTGGTGGCGGTGCTGGATAGCAAGGAGGAGGGCGCAGTGGGGGAGAGCGGGCAGAGCCTGAATGGGCGGGACCAGGAGAGGAGGGACGTGGAGCGGCGGGTGCTGGGGTGGCACTTTGCGAACCTTGAGTACGGGTGTGCCACGGACCTCACACGCCTGTCACTGCCCTTCTGGAACCAAGATGATGCGTTTGGGGGGTTTGGTGGGCCGCACTGCATGGTGAAGGGCGGGTTTGCGCGCGCCATGGCGCAGCTGGCTCAGGGCGTGGACGTGCGCCTGGGGCAGCCTGTCACTGAGGTGGCGTGGGGGGGGGATGCGGGCGTGCACAAGGCTGGGGCAGCGGCGGGGAGCACGGAGGTAGTTGCTGACATGGAGCAAGAGATGAAGGCGGTAGGCACAGAGGAGACTCACTCACACACCAACAGGCATGCAACGGCCACAGCAGCAGCAGCGGCAGCAGCAGCAGCAACGGCCACAGCAGCAGCAACGGCAGCAGCAGCAGCAACGGCCACAGCAGCAGCAACGGCAGCAGCAGCAGCAACGGCCACAGCAGCAGCAACGGCAGCAGCAGCAGCAACGGCCACAGCAGCAGCAACGGCCACAGCAGCAGCAGCAGCAGTGCATGTGAGGACAGCGTCAGGAGAGGTGTTCCCGTGCAACGCAGCGCTCATCACAGTGCCTCTGGGCTGCCTCAAGGCCGGCGCCGTGGCGTTCTCACCGCCGTTGCCTGCATGGAAGGCACGGGCCATCGAGCGGCTGGGGTTTGGGACGATCAACAAGGTGATTCTGGAGTTTGAGCGCGTGTTCTGGGACCCCCATGTGGACTACTTTGGTGCTGTCGCCCACCCACACCCCTCGCAGCGCGGCAACTGCTTTCTTTTCTGGAACCTGCAGCGCACCTGCGGTGCTCCTGTGCTGGCGGCGCTTGTTGTGGGGCACGCTGCCATGGCCATGGAGGGCCGCGGGGAGGGGGATGGACAGGCGGAGGGGACTGTTGTGGATGAAGCTGGGAAGGAGAAGGGGGGCGGTGGAGGCGAGGGGGCGGTGGGACGAGGGAGGGGGAAGGAGGAGAGTCGTGGTGAGGGCGGTGGGAAGAGGGAAGGGGGTGAGCGTGCGAGGAGGAGGAGTGCACGGCTCAGGAGGGCGGAGGTGGGCAGTGCAGAGGATGAGAGGCAGGGGGAGGGGGGGATGGCGGAAGGGGAGAGGCAGCGGAAGGAGCGTGTGGTGCAACATGCAGTGCGTGTGCTCAAGACCGTGTTCGGCCGCCGCAACGTGCCCAAACCCAAGGCTGCTGCCGTCACCTTCTGGGGCACTGACCCTTACAGGTATGCCAAACTGTTCCCCTTCCCCCTCCGTGCACTAGCTGTACTTCTCAAATCACCCAACACCACCCCTCACCCTTTTTCCACCCCATCCCTCTCGCTCACCCCCGTTCTGGTTTGTGCACTTCCGCTCTCCTCCCTCCCTTGCTGATTTCCCCCCCTCCCTTCCCAATCCTCCTCCCCAGCCGCGGTGCCTACTCGTACGTGCCAGTGGGGGCGTCGGGGCGGGACTACGATCTGCTGGCGCAGCCGGTGCGCGCGCGCGTGTTTTTTGCAGGCGAGGCCACGAGCAGGGAGCACCCCGACACCGTGGGCGGCGCCATGCTCAGCGGGCGCCGCGAGGCAGTGAGGATCGCAGGCGTGCTGCAGGGAGAGGGCGATGTGTGGGAGCAGGCTGAGGCGGCTGCTGCTGCTGTGGTGCATCGGCAGACGGACGAGGAGCGCGAGGAGGTGCAGTGGGTAAGGGAAGTTTTGGGGGCCGCGGAGAGAGGGGGACGAGATGGTGGTGAGTGGGGGAATGGGGTGGAAACGAAGGGAGTGGAGAAGGGAGTGGATGGGGAGAAGGGAGAGAGAAGCGCTTTGGGGGATGACGATGGTGGGATAAGAAGAGGTGGGGGGTTGAGAAGCAATGGTGATGCTAATGGGGAGGATGCAGGAGAGCAGGGTGGGAGGCAGTCCTTGGGGAGGGAGGGCACATGGCATGCGTGGGCGGACCTAGACATAGGGCATAGCGCATGTGTGCAGGCGGAGGGGGAGGAGAGGACGGCCAGGGAGGGGCCTGAAAAAGAAGCTGGTGATGGCAGAGGGGTGCAGCATGTGAGGGCGGCGGGACAGGTGTGTGAGAAGGGTGTCGAGGTTTGCGGTGCGGTGGACGAGGAGGGTGGGGTGCGGGTGGCTGGGCATGGGGAGGGGGAACTTGAGAGGCTCAGCGATGAGGGGGTGATTGGGGAGGCGGGGCAAGGGGGGCGGAGTTTGAGCGAGCAGGGGGGTTCAGGTGACGTGGGGAAGGGCAATGGGCTGGGAGTTGCGGTGCATGGCGTGCACACGAAACAGGAAGGGGAGGCGGTGAGACAGGAGCGGGGCAAGGGAGGGGTTGCGAGAGGGGAGAAGGGCGGGGAGGAGGAGAGGGCGTTGAGGAGGCGAGAGACGCAGGGAGAGCTGCGGCGAGGTGCGGCACTGGCTGCTGTGCTGCGCATGTCTGGCGGACTGCGCATGGGCGTGGCAGCAGCAGGCAGCGCGGAGGGGCGGGGGGAAGGGAATGGCAGGCATGGAGTGGGTGTGGAGAGGGAAGGGGGCGTGCACACGGTGGGGGGGCGCGTGTTTGTGTGCCGCGAGCTGCTGCAGCTGCCCAGGAGGGTGCTGGAGGCCGTGGCGGGCAGCAGGGAGGGGCTCGAGCGAATCAGCGAGTGGATCGTGGTGAGTGTGAGTGTGAGTGAGAGTTGGTGTGAGTGTGGGGGTGAGTGGGGGTGTGAGTGTGGGTGTGAGAGTGGGTGTGAGTGGCAGTGTGAGTGTGAGCATGTGGAGCTGGTGTCATGGCTCACTACCTCCTGCACCATCGCTCCGTGGATCACATGTCGTCACTCACCACACCACCCCCGCCCTCTGCCTTCCCTGCCTCTCCCCACCAGGAGTCCCTGCACTGCAGCTTGTCCCAGGTGCTCACTGCGTCTCTGCGCCTGCTGCTTGCTGCCGCCACGTGCCCGCGATGCGTGCGCTCCTCAGGTCAGCCTTGCCAATGCACTGCTGTCACATCACCACTGCGCTTCACACACACACACACGCACGCTCGCACACGCACACATACACACAAATGCACATACACACAAATGCACATACACACAAATGCACATACACACAAATACACATACACACACCCGTGCACGCGCGTTCACACTCCCACTCCCCTTCCACCTTCCACCAGCCATGTCAGATCGGCCTCCCCTATCAGTGAACCCTTCTTGATCTGATCTTTTACCTTTCGCCTTGACGCTTTCGTTCTCCCACTCTTTCCCTCCCATCCCCTCCCTGTCTTCCACCTCCCCCCCTCGTTCCCCTTGTCGTGCAGGAGTGGCGGTGTGTGTGCGTGCGCTGCTGACCGTGCCACGTGTGGGCAGGGAGGTGCGGTCGCTGGCAGCGCGGCTCATGCGCCTCTGGCACACGCTGGGCCACTTCCCTGCCCCCACCGCTGCTGCTGGGGGGCGCACCGCTGCACTTGCAGGCACGGGGGAACGGGCAACGGGCGAGGGCCAGGAGAGGGGTGAGGCAGAGGCAAGAAGTGATGGGGTGGAGGTGTGTGGAGCCGTGGGAGGGGGGTTGGCAGGGGGCAGCGCGAGAGAGGAGGACACTGAGGGAATGGAGGGAGAGACGGGAAGAGGAGGAGGGAGCAGGGTGGAAGGTGAGGGAGGGGAGCAGATGAGAGGGGTGGTGGGTGGCAGCCTGCACGCAGAGGCTCGTGATGGGTCGGATGGCGGCTTGGGTGGTGCGGCATGCAATGGTGGTCAGCAGAGAGGAGGGGCAAGGCACGGGCAGGGAGCAAGTTGGGAAGAAGGGAGTGGAATGAAGGAGGGTGGAGGGGCTGAGAGCATGAATGGCGAGAGTTCTGGGGTGATGGCGGAAGGGATTCCGCAGTCTCCACTCGCTGCTGCTCGTTCGCCCTCTCATGCTGATGCTGCTGCTTCTCCTCCTGCTCTCACTCCGCATTGTCCTGATGCTGTTGCTGCTGCTGGTGCTGCTGCCCATACCGTGACTGCTGGGCCATGTACCGTTGCAGGCAGAGGAGAAGCAGCAGCTGGAGTCAGCACAGAGGGCATGGCAAGCACTGGTGTTGCGGTCAGAGTTATTGCCGTGGCAGTGGCAGCTGCGAGACTAGCAGCAGAGGTGAGGAGGGAAGTCAGACACGCTCTGCTCCCACTTGTACTCCCAGTTATCTGCTTTTTGACGTCTTTCCAGTTCCCTCACTCCTTCTGTTGCCGATGTGTATCTGCCATGCCCCTCCTGTGCCCCACTCTGCTGTGCGTCCAGGCGTTGGCAGCAGGTGAAGTGCAGGCGGGCCAGTCACCCATGGCTGCTGCCCACCCATCCGCAACAGCAGCTGGCAGCACGCACCATTAGCTGCTGCCACAGCAGCAGCAGCAGCAGCAGCAGCAGCAGCAGCAGCATCGCAGGGCAAGCAGCAGCAGGTTACTCGGTTGCGCAGCCAGCGGCAGTCGCCCCTGGCAGGTGGGGCGGCTGCAGCACATGGGGCTGGCGGCGGCATGGGGGGAGGCCGAGGCAGGACATGGCAGCAGAGTGGGGGGGAGTGGGAGGGGGGAGCGAGTGGGCCTGGGCGAGTGAGAGGAAGGGTGAGGGCTGGGGCGTCAGCATGGGCTTGGGCAAGAGCGAGAGTCGGAGAGGAGGAGAGGACATGGCCAGGCTTGGATGGGAATCTAAGGACGGGAGAGGAGGAAGAAGAGGAGGAGGAGGAGGAAGAGGAGGAAGAGGAGGAAGAGGAGGAGGAGGAGGAGGAGGCAGTCCCAGGGCAGGCGAATGGGGTGGGGGCAGGCGCACACAAGAGGTTACGGGTGATGCAGCCAGGCGGCACTGCTGTGCCCCGTGGTGGTGGGGTGTCATGGCAAGCCTGCCATGTGAATGGCGGAGAGAGAGGAGTGGGCGACAGTGGGAGTGAGGAGAAGCAGAGGGGCGTGAGTGGGAGTGGTGTGAGAACAAGGTCGCAGGCACAGGCGTGTGTGCAAGCAGTGGGCAAGGAGGCGGGTGCAGGTTCACCAGGTGCAGCCGCCTCGGTTGGGGGTGCGGGGAGGGAATCATCTATGCACAGTGGTGGATCAGGCTTAGGCAAAGGTGGGGTGGGCGTTGGCAAACGCCGGGTTTCTGTGGCTGAGTACAGAGCAGCTGTTGAAGGGTATGTGGCGTCCCTGGTGGGGCCACTGGGGGACAAGCAGAGGGTGACACGGCAGCAAGTGAGGGAGATCAGTCGCAAGGCAACAGACGAGGTGAGGAAGCAGGGCGTGTGTGTGATTCCAGAGGCATGGTGGGTCAGTGCGACTAGAAGTGCGATTAGAGGATGCCAGGTCTGTGCTCCCACCAATCCATCATATCTGCACGTGCAGCAATGCAGTAGGCCATGGCAGCAGCCCATCTCTTGAATCATGGTGCCTGTATAGTCATGGGATGGGAAGCGGCCAATGGGCATGATATTAGCAGTTCTGTCGCCTTTCTGTGACCAGGAGAGCATCACTCTGTGCCAAGCCCAGCTGGTTTGCCTGCAAATCACTCACAGTGCCGTGCCAAGCCCCCTCACGATCCACCAGGTGATGGAGAGTGTCCGAGAAGGGGGCGGTGCTATGGACCCTGACGCCTGCCTCACTTCGTACCTCAAGTCGAAGGTAAGGGCATTGCCAAAGGTTGAAAGGGTATCAGCAGCATGGCATTATTATCGCCCTTGCAGCTTGTGCATGCCATGTTGCTGCAAACCATTGTGCTGTTTTCCTGCACCAAAGCACATCATCATGAGCTGCGCAAATGCCCTGCCTTCGTGTTTTGAACGTGTGGCTTTCATTGCTTTTGTCCCTTTTCTTCTGCCCCCGTGCTTGTCCAGATTCGGGACATAGTAGACAAGTACATGAAGGCGTACATTGACTCTTCCACGGATGGCAAAGAATCAGGTTCGATCAAGAGGAAAGGTGTACCCTAAGTCCGGCCTTGATTATCGTGTGGTAGTTGCTCCTGATGTATGATTTGCCTCCTATTTTGTAGCTCATTATCTTCATTCTTGCTCAGAAGTGAAGTATATTTGCACACCCCCGGCATGCTTCAGTGTACCAGGGTGGAATCATAGTATTTCAAGATATGTTTGAAGGTTTATTTCATTGAAATCCATAACCCTCTGAATTACCGCCGAGGTCCTTTCGGGGACGTTTTGGACAGAGTCAAGCAAACCTCAGGCAATATTACTGTGGTTACATAGTGTAAGGAATTTTCTCGCTATTCCTTACCGCGACCGTCCACATCACGTACAGCAGCAGCCGTTGTTCGCCCGTTACTGCTAACGGGGCTTCGCCAACTTCGCGCGCACTGTTTCACCAAACCTCGCACTGCTGGAGCAGCCGAGTCGGCCAACGCTTCGGGACTAGCCCGAACCTCGCGCCAGCGTAGCACTAGCTAGCTCGCCCGCACCGCGTTACCGTTTGCACTCATTGAAAAGTATTCGCTCATACCTTCGGTCATATTTTGTACTCATTGAACACTCAAGTGCAATCCTCGCTACCTCGATTCATTGCATCCGTAACACTTTGTTATCAGAGCCACTTTCTTTCGGACCGCGCATCTCCGCACCCCAGGAAATCAACTTTTGTTTTTTCACTCGAAGGGACTCACGCCCCTTAGCACCTAGGAGCCGCTGTCCTCGCGTTCTCTCGTAAACGCGTGCAGCCACGACTACGCCTAGACTAAGCTGAGCCGACGCCCTTCATTATGGCTGAACATATCGACGTCACGACGCTCACGCAGGACCGTTTGAACGAGCTGCTGCGACAACTCCACGAAAGCTCTGAAGAAATCGCGGCACTGACGGCCGAATGTGTTGAGATAATATCGAGACTTAAGCACTTCAAGGATATTCGTGTAGTACAGTAAAGTACCGATAGGCTGACGTCAGCAAAGCGCTACGCGCCATAGGATGACGTCAGCACGTAGCTATAGACCTCGCGAAAAGTTACGTACCGTTTCAGAACAAGAAAAGCACAGTACAGTAGGCGAACATGTACTTTACTCTAGTTATATATTTTGTATGTTTATCATTTTATAAGATATCTGATTTCAGAGACATCGATCCTGAAACGTATCACTACATGGGCTTTTATTAAGTCCAGACAAACTTTCATAACAGGCTTTAACTCATATAAGACTTCCGCTACGACAGGAAGCTACCATCCTAAGTATTACGATCCTATTCAATCACTTCAGATTCTAACATGGTATTGCGAGCGTCTTAGGATACTACAAGCTTCCAAATACATACTCTACAACTATGTCTGGATCTCCACGGTCCAACAACGGCTCTTCTGTTACGAGTCCATCACGCCCAACAGCGTCTCCAACTGCTGATAATTCACATCTGCAGCAACAACATCAACAACAACAATATCAGCAACAACCGATGTACGGCATGCCACTGAGCAGTCAGCCTGTACACACAACTGTAGCAGCGTCATCATCGACAGCAGCCGCAGCATCAGCAGCCACAACAGCTGCAACTGCAGTCACTGGTTCTTCTAGTCAACCAGGACAACAGTCCAGTTTCGTACCAACTGGACCTTATCAATATCAAGGTGCTTACCAGCCAACGAATCTTCAACAGCGTGTCAATGCTGCCGTCTTGTCACTTCACCAAATGTTTCCAACTCCTATGAGCCTTGATGGTTCCAGTTATCAGCATGGCCAGATGCCACAGGGAAGTGACAGGTCGAATAACTCTTTTTCTTTCGTTCCTGCTGGACAAGGACAACAAGCACCACAAGGGTCACAGATGCCATCACTTTATCAGCTGCAATCAGCTGACGGTACCGGAAACTATCTTCCCGCCTCTGCAAACCCAACAAAAATTAAAACGACTGTGCCTTTTAACGGTCAGGACTTCTATACCTGGAGCTTTGAATTTGAGTTTCTTGTTCAGACCGCGGGGTTCTGGCAGTTGTTCGACGGCACAGCACCCTTTCCATCTCACGGGTCACCACTTCAACAGGCCACTTTTCGATCGGCGTCGCTGACTGCATACACAGTTCTCGTTCGCAATCTGACACCGACTGAACAGCTTGGCATTCGTCCTTTTTGTACCAGTGCCGCTCCTGCTGAAGCAGCTTGGTTATACCTGCAAGGGGTTCACATGGCAAAGGACACTGTCAACCAGAGTAAATTTTTGACGCAGCTGTCAAATATACAAATGATAAACGGCGAGAAGGTGACGCAGTATATCAACCGCGCTCGAAATCTGCGTGATCAACTTCAGAAGTGTGGAGGGTACTTCCCCGACGCTATGTTTCACACGGTGCTACTCGCGGGTCTTGGACCAGAATGGCGACAGTGTCGCTCTATTCTTCGGATGCAAGCACAGTTGTCCGAGGGGGCACTCTGTGCCGCTCTCATCGCTGAGCAGCAGGATATGGACCTGCACAACGCTCGAGGAGGGAAAAAGGTGGTAAACAACACAGTCAGTTTTTATTCTAATCCACGTCACAAAACCGTTTGTTCCTTTTGTCGCAAAGCAGGACATACATACTATTGATACCTGCTGGTCGAAAGATAAACCATCTTGGAAGCGGACTACACCGAAACATCCCAAAGATTCTTCAGGTGAAGCTGAGAAGCAGGCAGCTGAGAAGCAGGAAGCTGTGAAGCAGAATACTGCGAAGCCGAACTCTGCGAAGCCGCCTACTACACCTGTCAAGACACAAGCGAAAGAAGTTATTAATTGTATGACGTCAGTTTCTACAGTCTACGATCCTGACGCTGAGGAACGTATTCACAATAACTTCAATGATGAACTCAACACGCCCATACCACCCGAGGTCTACGCCAACCTTGCACATACCTTGGAAGGTCCCAACACTTGGTATCTTGACAGTTGTTGCGGGCAGCATATGTGTTCATCAGAAAATCGCTTCGTCATCAATCAGCGTCGTCTTCAGAATCAGTGCGTTGTAACCGTCGCCAACAACCAACGTCTTACAGCACACTGGATGGGTAACATCATTCTTGATTCTGTTGAAGAAGACTTCAGTCTTCATCTTAACGATGTACTCCTCGTTCCTCGACTTGGATTCAATCTGATGTCATCAGCACAGCTCATGAGGAATGGTATTACTCTTCTTGGTGAACCGGGCAAGTTTACTTTAAAGTATGGAGACAGGAAACTCGGCACGGCGATTGAACAGAACGGTGTATTTGTTCTCAACTTCGTACCTGAACGCACCACTGCCGACTCCGAGAATATTCTCTCTCTTGGCCCATGGGAACATCGTGACGACATCGATTACACCGATGATACCGTTCCTCGTGATGGAGTTGTACCCACATCTTCAACCACGGCTGCCGCTGTCATGCTGACCTTCGACAACCAAGGCTTAAACGACGTCCAGAACTCCCGAGATTATCTTGCTCACGTTGCTGGTTGGGGAGATACGATGAATATGCCCACGGGTGAAGGCACTTGGGGGGCACAGGAACCTGACGAGACTACTTGGGGAGAAACACCTGCTGATCGTGATCAACGTCTTCTCACAGAAGCAGAGCAGCGTGTCGCTGCCATGGAAGTTCTCGACTCCGGACGACTTGTCGGTGTTGAACCTAAACCTGCAGCATCAGATCAAGAGAGCGGGGAATTAGTTCTTTCACCAGGCGAATCCGACGACGTTGAAATCAAAATTCCGCCACCTAACCTTACCAGGTTTATTCCGCCTGTCACAGATCATGTTCACGCTGACGGTCATCGGTTGCTGTTGTCTTTCTTCGCTAACGCCGACTATTATCTGCGCGCACAAGGACACAAAGCAACTGCAGACATCTGGCATAAGCGTCTTGGTCATCCGTCGCAGTCTACACTCAACAACACAATCAAAGCAGCTGTTCTTGACAAGAATTCTCTTCTCTTACCTGGCGGCCTCGAAATGAAACCGGTTAATCGTCCATCACCCTGCTTGATCTGCCCAGCAGCAAATCTACCGCACGAACCGTACCCGACTCATTTTCCTGGCGCTGAGGATTATCGATTGATGGAAAAGGTTTACAGCGATATTCTAAACTTACCTGCAGAGGGTTTCAACGGCGAGAAATATGTTATCACGTTCACTGAAGCTTCTACTCGATACGTTTGGACTGGTAACTGTCAGAATGTTATATTTGTCTAGCCTGCAGTGGGGTACTCAATAGTGAGTACAGCCCAATCTAGGGTTTCCTATATGTACTCAACTGCTTGCTAGTGCAATCATTCCACTTCCTTCTCTTTCTCATTTCTAACTTCCTTTGGTTTCTTCACATGGTATAGAGCTGGTCCGATCTTTGGGCCCACCACTGAATTTTTTTTTTCCTGCCCGAGGCGCGCGTCACGCCTGCCCTTAACGGCCCTTAGCGGCCCCTCGTAAGGCCCTTAGCGGCCCCTCGTAAGGCCCTTCGCGGCCCCTCGTACGGCGCTTCGCGGCCCCTCGTAAGGCCCCTTCGCGGCCCCTCGTAAGGCCCTTAGCGGCCCCTCGTTAGGCCCCTTACGCGGCCCCGTCGCGGCCTCTTACGCGGCCCCTTACGCGGCCCCGTCGCGGCCCCTTACACGGCCCTTCGCGGCCCTTGCTGCTGCCGTCGCGGCCCCCAGTCGCGGCCCCCCCCGTCGCGGCCCCCAGTCGCGGCCCCCCGTCGCGGCCCCCCGTCGCGGCCCCCCGTCGCGGCCCCCCGTCGCGGCCCCCCGTCGCGGCCCCCCGTCGCGGCCCCCCGTCGCGGCCCCCCATCGCGGCCCCCCGTCACGGCCCCCCGTCACGGCCCCGTCGCGGCCCCGTCGAGGCCCCCCGTCGAGGCCCCCCCCCCCCCCCCCCCCCCCCCCCCCCCCCCCCCCCCCCCTTTTTCCCGTCGCCTGTCGAGGCGACCTGAGGGGGCCGCGCGTCGCCCCTTCTTCCGCCTGTTCTGGCGCCCTGGGAGGCCGCGCGTCGGCCC